GGGGCGTCAACTTGCCCTTTTTCCCAAACCTGACTTGGCCTTTCATTGGAGAAACACGGATGAACACATGGTCGCCGACCTCATACTCAAGAGGTCTTCTCCGGACATCTGCATAACTCTTCTGTCGGTCTTGAGCTGTTTTGAGCCTTTGCCGAATAGTTTTGCAGACTTTTGTCCACAATCCCAATTAACAACTCATAATATTTATAGGGGAATAGCAATTGGACATTGACAAGTTTTCAAATATTGATATTACTCACAGTGATCGGCTTGTGGATTTGCCCTAGAACTTGACCCTACACATTTCATGAGCACAAAAGGATCACTAATAGTTCAATCCGTTCTTTAATTCACATATTCCTCTTTAGGCTTTATTATCATCTCTTTAACTCATTTACAATGCTTAATATATGCCTAAGAGTGCTTGCAAGTGAAAGAGAACGGAAAACGAAACACAGAACGCATGAACAAAATTTCAGAAATTGGGGTCCCCGCTCGAGCGTCAATTTACCCGCTCGAGCGGACCCTCCAGGCCTGCAAAAGTACTGGTTGCATGAAAAATACGCTCGAGCGTTAAATAGGGCGCTCGAGCGGAAGGCCTGTCAAAATAGCTCCCACGCTCGAGTGTCGACTTCCACGCTCGAGCGGGAACCATGTCTGCAGAAAATGCTGGGAGCTCGATTTCTTCGCTCGAGCGTCACTTAACCCGCTCGAGCGGACATCAAAAATCTGGGTTTTTCCAGATTGAGTTCTTGAGCTTCATCTTGACATTCAAAGGCTCTAAATGCATGATTTCGGCCCAAATTTCACATAATCATATACTAACATGGTACAAACATAGAATTACAACATATTGAAGCTCAATTTCATAATTTATTTACATGCATGGCTCATTTTCCACCAACTCATTACCGATGTAGCCATTTCATGCATTCAAAGCTCATATCTTCTCAATTTGTACATGCATGTGATGGATTAGCCACATTCTCAACTTAGATAACACAAATGGTGATCAAGACATGAGTTTCCTTTAATATTTCACATGGGTTATACACATTTGTGCTTAAACATGCAAATTTCAAGGTATTTCTTACATGCCTGCACATATTAAGCCTCAATTCAACAAACACAACTCAACTTCATCACAATCTTGTTCTTGATCACCAAGATAGCTTGGACATGCACAAAATTACAATTATAATCCAAGAATCACTCACCTAGGGGCTTGATTCTCACAATCTATGCTCAAATCTTGACTTAGGCTTCCAATCTCCAAGTTTCAAGACCAAAGTTGCATAATCCCTCTTTCTCCCTCCCTATAGTCGGCTCTCCCTCTCAAATTGAGTTCAAGAATCAGCCAAAATAAGCTAAGGGAGAGAAATAAGGTGTAGTGCTCAAATATGGCAAGTCCCACTAAGTCAATATAATATTAGCAAATAATTGGGCACCAATTTACCAATTTAATCAACTTAATCTGGTCCGAATCAATTTTTCAATTAAATTTCACCGTAGGCTCTAAAAAATTATACCAATCACAATGGCATAATCAATTTCGGGTTCTGTGGCCAATAAGGCCCTCGATTAAATTTCCAAAGTTGATTAGTCAAACAGATATTCCTACGGTGAACAGATAAAACTTCAAAATCGCATATATTCACATAATGGCACATAAAATCATGATAATCAATTTTTCAATTAAATTTCACCGTAGGCTCTAAAAAATTATGCCAATCACAATGGCGTAATCAATTTCGGATTCTGTGGCCGATAAGGCCCTCGATTAAATTTCCAAAGTTGATTAGTCAAACAGATATTCCTACGGTGAACAAATAAAACTTCAAAATCGCATATATTCACATAATGACACATAAAATCATGATAAACACATAATCCTACTCAATTTAAGGACCAATTAGCATACTACGGAACAGGGGTATCACAATAATACTCAGTAACTCCTACTATTTGCTATGGCGATATACAAAGAGAAACATGTAATGCTATGCCAGTAAGCAGATTAGTTAAAAACTTCAGCTATACAAAGACTTTGAAGAATACCAAGTACATCTTGTTTATGCTAAGGAAAATAGTAACATATAGAATCAAAGCAAATGCAAAAGGTCTGAGTTTGGTCTGGTTAGGAATTCAATTTCATGTTGAGTTTGTCGCCAAGTTTATTTCATAGACCCTTAAAAGCTCGCTTCATATGATGTGTGATCAAAAGGATAGGATACCTCCATATACCCTCTACTTGATGGTCAATTAGTTTAGTATCCAATCTTTTTCACCTATTTCTTTACAAGACAAAGTAGTTGAAGGATGTTGCCATAAAGCTGTTATCAACATCGGTTTATATATACTAGTTACGGGGAGTCATGCGTTGCATGATGACCCGTGCCCATGGTCCAAGTCAGTGCATAATCATCAAGTCGTAGATGAATTTCAACCAATTATTTGAGCTTGAAATTAGAATTAGCCATGGCAATTGTAAGTAGTTCAT